AATCTGTCCTTCACATTATATCTCAACTTGACCTCTAAGATTTAGAGGTTGGTTTAAAGCCTGAAGCATGAGGTTTAATATCCCTTCCAAAATTTGTATCATTATTAATTAGGACAACTCCAGATATTCTTGATATGAATATCGGGAGCTGTCCTAATTAATGATGATAAAAATATATAAATATCCAATAACTTTTTGAAGCTTGTTAAGATCTTGGCCTCAATGACTTCCTATGGCAGTGAGTTCCATAGTTTAATTGCACATTTGTGAAAAAGTATTCTATTTATCATTTTTGAATTTCCCACCTTTCAATTTCATTGAATGTCCCCTTGTTCTCATGCTATGAGACACAGAGAGCAGAAGCTCTTGATCTACCTTATCTATACCGTTCATTACTTTAATACACTTTTATCATGTCCTCTATTACTCAGTTCCTTTCGAAGGTAAACAATCCCAATCTTTTCAACATCTCTTCATAAGAGAGTTTTGCAAGGCCAGTGAACATTCTCATCACTCTTCTCTCACCCTGTCTAGTTTTGCAATATCAATGGCATTGCTTGCAGACACATGAACTACTGAAATAAGCCCTAGTTTCAATAATTTACCTTCCAGTGTCATCAAAGCAGACATCCGTGTGGCCTTCTGTGTGTCCATAGCGCATTGGCTTTTGTGTTGAAGGCATCCTCTCATCTATATAATTAAAAAAATGTAAAAAGCTTTATAAAACAAATACAAATGATTTGTTAGTGTTAATAACAGGAAAACACTATTGAAACTTCAGTAGTTAAAACATTTTGATGCAGTGATATTTTTGCATGTTTTTTTCCTATTAAAGACCTTGACAATGTTGATAAGAATCACTACAATATATGTATTTTGAAAAATATTCCTGAAAAGTATGATGAAGGGAAATGAGGAAATTTAGAGGGGGGATTAGCAAATACTGCAGTATTTCTGGTTAAACAAATATAAACCGAGAGCATACACCACCACTTTACTGTATGAGAGTTAAATTGATTAGAACTTTATTAACAACTGCTAGCCTATGCCAAAAACGTTAGTGCGTCCCCAAGTCCTGTAACTGTATCCACAAAGATAGAACCTTGCACCCATGTAGAGCTCCAATGACTTTAACAGGGTCCCATGCAAGCATCAGGGTTCACCTGGGTAGATCCAACTGAAGTACTGGGACTCACATAAGCAACACCGATATCTTTGTGACAAGCCTATATCTTTATTATGAGGGAAATAAATATGGATAAACATCAGCTCCAAATAACCGTCATTTCAAAGTATGTAGTTGCAACAGAAGGCATTTTTTAAAAAGCCATCTATTCTAAAATTCTACATATGTTCTAAGTTGTATTGATATAAGCAGAACAGTTCTGTATTTTAAATTCTTCATGAACTAACTGTGACTGAACAACACACACAATGCACTTCACTTTTGCTTCTATTTTTTGAAGGTCCAGAAGGATCATAGTTAAAAAAATATTAATCACTTGGGGTATGTCTATACTACTACAGCGGGCAGCGATCGATCCAGCGGGGGTTGATTTATCGAGTCTAATCTAGAGGGCATAAATCGACCCCCGAGCGCTCTCCCATTGACTCCTGTACTCCATCGGTGCAAGAGGCAGACAGAGTCGACGGGGGAACGTCAGCAGTTGACTCACCACAGTGAAGACACCACAGTGAGTAGATCTAAGTACGTCAACTTCAGCTACGTGAATAACGTAGCTGAAGTTGCATAACTTAGATTGATCCCCCCAGTGTAGACCAGGCCTTAAACTTGGTTAAACACAGTGGCTCTTAAAATAAGAAAATTGCCTCCACATGTCTGCTTTTTTGAATACCTCTGTATTTTACGCTGCCAGCAAACCTATAAACTGGATAGAACCTTAAAACACACAATTCATATACATCTGTTATATTGATTCGATGTATGTTTTACTTTTTACAATATATGGAAAAAGTGACTTTAGCAACCTCCCATGGAACTAGTGAAAGCCACTTCCCTAGAGTGAAAAGAAAAGGAGGACTTGTGACACCTTAGAGACTAACAAATTTATCTGAGCCTAAGCTTTCGTGAGCTACAGCTCACTTCATCGGATGAAGTGAGCTGTAGCTCACGAAAGCTTATGCTCAAATAAATTTGTTAGTCTCTAAGGTGCCACAAGTCCTCCTTTTCTTTTTGCGAATTCAGACTAACACGGCTGCTACTCTGTTCCCTAGAGTGGTGGGCCTTTGGCTAATGGTGAAACAAAATAAGGCTGCAGGACTTGGAAGTACAGTGGCTGCTTAAGACAGAGTGTTGCCTATTGGAGGTAGGGACCTCACTGCAAGCATCACTGGATAGTCACTGGCAATAGAAAAAATGACCAGATATCAGATTCAGTCATTCATTCAGTATGTAGCATAGGGCTAGATAATCATCATCCCCTACCAAGGAGCAAAATACCTCTTGGAAGGGGCAGATCATTCCACCAGTTCGGAATGAAGTTTGTCCCTCAAGCAATGAGCTGTATCCTCGCTGCAGAATGACAGGGCTTGCACCCAAGTCACAGTGAGACGTGGGCTCTGAGCCACCCCCCTAGCAGGGTCCTAGGATCAGGGTTCTTTGTCCTCACAGACCCGAATCTGACTGATTTTTGTGTGGCTGGCAGGGGGACTTGGGCTCAAACCCGAGTCAGAGCCCAGGCTTAATATGCAGTGTAGACATAACCTAAAGGCTTCCCTGCTGGCCCCTGGCTGCTCCTAAAACCTCCACATTAGATCAATATGGGGGGCAGGATGGGGAGAGATCCCCTCAGAAATTATACAGCCCTAAGATAGGATTACGTTCTCCACAGGAATGGTGATGCAGGGGGAGATATATCCCCACGCTCACCGTGTGTAGGTCCTGAACCCCAAGTAGGAGGCAAAGCCTGGGGTGGCTGGTATCTAGAGGCTACTGCCTCCATCTTCTGTGTGTGGAAGGGGAGATCTGCACCCAGCCCCTGAGGGGTGATCGGGCCCAGTGCGGGGGTCACAGTGAGACACCCCACAATCCTCTCGCCTGCTTTCCTGCAAGGCCTGATGTGTGCATAGCCCCCTCCCCAACCCCCCCCCCCCCCCCCACAACCCAACCCAACCCAACCCCTCCTCTCCTCCTCCCCCCACCCAACCCCTCCTCTCCTCTCCTCCTCCTCCTCCCCCCACCCAACCCCTCCTCTCTCTCCTCTCCTCTCCTCCCCACCCCACCCAACCTCTCCTCTCCTCCCCCCCCTCCTCCCCCCCCCCCCACCCCCCCAACCCCTCCTCTCCTCCCCCCCCCCCCACCCAACCCCTCCTCTCCTCTCCTCTCCTCCCCCCCCCCCCCCAACCTCTCCTCTCCTCCCCCCCCCAACCCCCACCTCTCCCCCCCCTCCCCACCCCACCCAACCTCTCCTCTCCTCCTCCTCCCCCCACCCAACCCCTCCTCTCCTCTCCTCTCCTCTCCTCCCCACCCCACCCGCACTCAACTCCTCCACCCCCCCACACACATACCCCCTCGCCCGCCGCCACCGGCGAGACCCAGCCACCCGTCAGCCCGGCACTCACCAGCCACGGTCCCGCCCGGCCCCGCTTCCAGCCTTCCCGCGCTCCCTGCCCGCGCAGCTGCGCCTGCGCGGCCCTGGCTCGGCTCGGCTCGGCCCGCCCCCCGCGGCTCGGGCCTGCTGCTCCCGTCAGTGGCCGGGGCGGGGCCGGCGGGGCGAGCCCGGGCCGGGGAAGAAGGATGGCGGCGGTGGCCGCGACTCAGGCCGCTTCGGAGCTGCTCTGCCCAGGCAGGTGAGGGGATCGGGGCTCCGCCGAGAGGGGAGCGCGGGGAGAGGGCCGGTTCCTCCCCCCCACAGAGCCCGGTAGGCAGCTCCGTACCCTGCGCCGTCCTTCCCGTCCCCCATCAGCCTGCCCTCCTGTCCCCCTCAGCCTGCCCTCCTGCCCCCCGCCCCACTCCCCCCCTCCTGCTCCCCAGCCCCCTTCTCCTGCCCCCTCCTCCCCCCAGCCTGCCCCCTCCTCCTCCTCCTCAGCCTGCCCTCCTGCCCCACTCCCCCTCCTCCTGCCCCCTCCTCAGCCTGCCCCACTCCCCCTTCTCCTGCCCCACTCCCCCTCCTCAGCCTGCCCGCCTGCCCCTCAGCCCCCTCGTCAGCCTGCCCGACTCCCCCTCCTGTCCTCTCCTCAGCCTGCCCCACTCCCCCTCCCCCTCCTCCTCCCCTCTCCTCAGCCTGCCCCACTCCCCCTCCCCCTGCCCTCTCCTCAGCCTGCCCCACTCCCCCTCCCCCTTATCCTGCCCCCTCCTCAGCCTGCCCCACTCCCCCTCCTCCTCCTCCTCCTCCTGCCCTCTCCTCAGCCTGCCCCACTCCCCCTCCCCCCCTCCTCCCCCTCCCGCCCCCCACCCCCTTATCCTGCCCCCTCCTCAGCCTGCCCCACTCCCCCTCCTCCTGCCCCCTCCTCAGCTTGCTCCCCGCCCCCACTCCCCCTCCTCCTGCCCCCTCCTCAGCCTGCCCCCCTGCCCCACTCCCCCTCCTCCTCCTCCCCCCCTCAGCCTGCCCTCCTGCCCCCCCAGCCTGTCCTCCTGCCGCAGCCTGCCCCACTCCTCCTCCTCCCCGCCCCCGAGCCTGCCCCTGCCCTCCTCCTGCCCTCCTGCCCCCCAGCCCCCTCCTCAGCCTGCCCCCCGTCCCCCTCCCTCTGCCCCACTCCCCCTCCCCCACTCCCCCTCCTCAGCGTACCCTCCCACCCCACTCCCCCTCCTCTCCCTCCTGCCCCTCCTCAGCCTGCCCTTCTGCCCCACTTCTGCCCCCCCTCAGCCTGCCCTTCTGCTCCACTCCCCCTCCTCCTGTTCCCTCCTCAGCCTGCCCTCCTGCCCCACTCCCCCTCCCTCTGCCTGCCCTCCTCCCCCTCCTCCCCCCCCTCCCCAACTTCTCCCACCCCAGCCTGCCCCACTCCTCCTTTCCTCCTTTTGCCCCAGCCCCACTCCCCCTTCCTCCTGTTCCAGACTCTTCCTGCCCCTCCATTCTCCCTTTCTTCTGCCCCAGCCTGGCTCACTCCCTCTTCCTCCTCCTCGCTCCCTGACTCAGCCTGTCTCATTCCCCCTCCTCTGTATCACAGCCTCCCCCTCCCTCCTTTTCCTCGTGTCCCCTCTGTGCCCCCAGGCCTCCCTCCTTCTTTTCCCCTCCCTGTCCCATACTCCCATTACTTCTCCTGCCTCTCTCATTTTCCGCCAGTCCCCTCTCTCCTCGTCTCCATTCTCTCTTCTCCAACCCCACCCCCATATTCTTCCTCCTTCTAATCTCCGCTTCCTCTCTCCCTATGCCCCCTCTGTCATTCCTTCTTCCCCTTGCAACCCATCCAGCTGTTCAATTAATCCAGTCTATCTTTGTGTCTGATGGTGAGTGTTATCTGCTGCTGCCTGGCATGAGGTCGGGCTCTGAGATTCCCACCTGCATATTCCCCTCGTAATGGCTCTGCTGGGGAGCAGCAGGTAAGTAATGTTGGCTGCATTTGCATTAGGACAGTGCTATTCTTTTATTTATTGCTCAGGAGCAGCTAAAAGAGAAGGGCTCAAAGCTTTGATCAGTTCACACCTTTTAGCATGTGCCTTAAAATACGGTGGGATGCTGGGTTTTTAATACTGCTCAGAACAGACTATGACAGAAGCTAGTGTTTAGAACTAAGTATGCACAAATCTATGCTCCATTTCAAATATGCATTATTTTCCATTTATACTCTTTCACGGTAGTCCTAAAGAAGCAGTTATTTAGCTTTGAAAATAGTTTTAGGCTGAACTCTTAATAGTGGGGTAGTATCTTATTCATGGAGTGAAAGCTCTTGTATCTCATTAATGGAGTGAAAGCTTTACAGTGTAGATAAGTACAAGTAATGGTGTTTTCCTTCTGTTGTTAATTCCAGAGAGTCAGGTATTAAATGCCTGTGATTTCATAAGCACTAGAGAGACACATAATAGTATTTTGAGGACACGTTCCCTCTTTTCTGATACTATTGTCTTTGTGAAGGGGGAGAATAACAGGAAATCGAACTTGTCCTCCTAAGTATTTTGGTGCAGGTTTGTGGCTGTAGATAGTTGTGACGTCTACAAAAGCAGTTAAAATAAATGTTGATGTCTTATAGCCTGTGTTTGCAGAACACATTTTATGTTTCATGCTGACTTACATAGTCATTTTTACTAAAATAGACTTTCTCAGAATACATTGACATATTTTTGTAAACACAAGTCGCTGTCTTACACCATTCTGAGTGATGCTGCTGTTATAATTTTTAGCTATAATAGCTTGACTGTACAAGTCAAACCTGCAATGTGTTGTCGGTAGTTTAAAAAAAAAAAAAAAGAAGTTGTCCATGCAAGCACATTTGGTCCTTTATAACCTTCATTAATTAGTATTCATTTTTAAAATTGAACTAAAATTTCCCTTTGTGATCTTAACTCCTCCATTCTCAATGAAATTGTGGGAAGCTCCAGTTAAAGAACAAGTCCTTATTCAGGCATCATATTGATGTTGGCGGGTATTGAATAAAGAGTGCAAGATCTGACCGATTGTGGGATCGTTCTCAGAATCATGAGAGACTAATCTGTTCCTATCCTATAACTAGCGTATCTTACTGATACTGTACTTACGATGACTATACAGTTGTAGTTAAATGAATAGCTACTCCAATACATAAACCAATAGGCTGTATTGCTTTGAACCGCTGTATTCAGCACTAAAGGTGCAATACAGTTTTATTTCTTTAAGGACGAAAAAATGGCTTGTCTTAAAATCACAAAGTATCTGAAATAAGAAAACAGATCTGTTTCCCCTTCCTGTCCCTTTAACCATATGGCACATTTTATTCATGCTTCCAAGAAAAATTGCTTATAGGCTGAACCCTTTTATGCCCAGTTTTATTCTGCATTTGCGCTATTGGTGCCTGGTGGAGGGAAATAATTTTTGTATTGGAACTGTTATTGGGCCCTTTGTAATAGTGCTTTCATTATTAGTGCTTTCATGTTTGAGTCAGTGACAGTGTTAGACTCTAGGCTTCCTTTATATTTTTTATTTTTTAGTATTCTCAGCTCTCATTATGGAACCTTGTAGAAGCTGTGCAGAGACATGGTTTTCAGTGGGGATATGGGGTAATATGTGTTCTAACAAATTATTCTAGTAGGAACGCCTAATCAGGTGAGTGGGAAGGTAGAACTACACTCTTCAACTCATAAATTTCTTATGGGAGCTGAGGGAATTTCATGTCAAATGTTTTAAAACAATTCAGTAGTCTTATGCATAGTGTCTTTCATAAATGTTTTAATGATTTCAGCTAAAATGCTTTATACTGTAAAGGATGCTTTAAGTACAAAATCAGGTTACAGCTAATCTTGCTGAAGCTGAATCCGTATAAGATTGATATAATGTTGTTAGGTTAGGAAAGCCATCAGAAGATATAGCGATAATTGTCTGCCCTCCATTTGTTGTACGTACAATCTGGGGGCATTATTGGATCCTCAGCTGCTGTTAAAAAATTGTCTAGCTGTAGTTTTTCTGTTAAGGCTTGTTTCTTTTTTGCTTGGCCAAGAGGATGCAACCATTTTTTTCCAGACCTTGCTACTGTCATCTATGCATTTGTTGTCTGAGTATTAGATTATTGCAGGGCACACTACACGGGGCTACACTTTAAATCTACTTGGACGGTGAAGCTTGTGCACGTTGCAGTAACTGACTTATTAATACTGTAAATTTGCTGGGAGCATGATAGCAGTTCTCCATGATTTGCACTGTCTGCCTGTTCGGTTTCTGTGTGGAATTTAAAGGCTTAGTCTTGAGCTGTAAGGCCCTGAATGTCTTGGTACCTGCCCACTTGAGATACTGCTTTTCTCCCTGTGCCACATGGCCACTGCTGTTTAGTCTGCAGAGGCACGTTTTCTTTTTTGGAGCTCCTTGAGTATAAAAGAGAGGGAACTTTTGGTAGGGCATTTTGCATGAGTAGCCCTGAACTTTGGAACCTATTTCCCACACTCATGCACATACTGGATCTGAAATAGCCCCGGTATTTAATCTTTGGGCATGGTGCAAGGCCCATCTACCCAGGGTTTTGGCGGAGAAAAGGGCAGGATAAGAATCAGGATTTCTTCTTGGGTTAGAGGTATCATCTGGGTATTGATTTTATCTCTAGTAAATTATTTTCTGGTTTAAGGGTGAGAGGTAGCTGCTGGTTCCATTTTTGAGTGGGATTGTATCTATAATGTATTACAGAGGCACCCAGAGATAAGGTTAGGTACTTTTAGAATCTGAAACATAAATCAAAATAAATAAATAGTTAGAATTGAGACAAATTAATGGAGACAAGGGAATTGAGAGTTAATGCTATGTTTAACTGGGTTTATTTCAGAAGTAAGTCAACAGAGTCCCACCTTCAGTGGAAGTGAAAGTGTTAAATTAAAATGAGGTGTGATGGCCAAAATAATGACTGGGCAAAGATTAATGTGAACAGCAGTTGATCAATGAGAAATATATAAATAACTGAATATATTTTTGTATATAATAACTAGGACTGGATGACAGAGGATGGATCACTTGATGATTACCTATTCTGTCCATTCCCTCTGAAGCATCTGGCACCATCTGCTGTTGGAAGACAGGATACTGGGCTAGATGGACCATTGGTCTGACCCAGTATGGCCATTCTTGTGTTCTCAACTTAAATCATTTGTTTTAAAAAAAAATAACTAAAAATACTAATATAAAGAGAAGACAGATAAATATAGACCATTCAAATAATATATTTAATTTATACAAGTTATTGAAATGTAAGCAGTCTGAAACTATGGGCAGTAGTTAGGAAAAAATATTTAATAGATTTGAATGCTATAAGTTACATAAAAATATCAACTTCCACAATTATGACTGAAATTAACCTTATTGGTTAGTAGTATACCAGTGGTGGGGTTGTGTCATTTAATGAGAGGAATAATCAGATGGAGACACTTGGATTTTTGTATTTGAGTAGAGAACTGTCCTAAATAATTAATCACATGGAAACTATAACTAACAACTTGATTAGAAAGGTTTTGGAGGGACTGGCAGTGGAGTGCAGACAAACATTCACGGTGACTGTAGAAAAAGAATATTTTAGGAGGGGAACACTCAAGTTATTCAGAACAAGACTTCCCTGTGTTTGTTATGGCCCTGATCCTACTGCTTCTGAAGTCTATGGGAGTTTTGCCATTGACTTCAGCACACAGGATCAGGTTCTCTCTCTTCTATATTTTCACTGGCTGGTGATTGTTGCCTACTGTCTGATTGAGGGAAGCATTTTCATTGTATAAATGCATCCGCTAGAAGATGTTGCTTTTAGTTGAGATCCTGAAGTTTATGCCAGGACACCGTGTAGCAATGACCCTGTAGGGATTTTAAAGCTATGATGATATCTAATGACCTTCAGAATCCGGTGGCCTGACATGAACCCTGCTTTATCCATGCATGTTGTTTTGTCTTGTCATTTGTTTAGGAGGAAGAGTTTCATGTTTAAGAGTTTTGTCAGTTGTATCTGCTTCTAACATGCCTAAGGTATATGCACTTTACAAGAAAGCCTCAGGAGACTCTACTCTTATGGGTATAATTTGTAAATGTAAAGTTCTCAGAGCTGATGTGCATAACTTGGTATACTGGATAGCTTCTTCATTTAACATTGCCCGGTAGGTAAAAGTATGCTCTCTATCTCTGCTGCCTTTCTCTTTTTCTTTTTCCTTGGGTTGCGTTTTAATCACTAATGGAAGTACACCTACGTGGCATTATTTGGTTAGAAAGTCTTCAGTTTATGGATAGGATAGTTACGTGTACAGTACCTCTTCAAGGTTCTTCTATGACCCCTATCACTATAGTGTCTGAGCACCTCAGAATCTTTTAAATCTCACAATGCCCCTGTGACTTTGTTGTTCACCTGATTTTACAAATAGAGAACTAAGACCTGGTCTGTGCTTGAAAATTAGATCAGTTTAACTACGTCGGAGAGGGGTGTGAAAAATCTATCCCCCCGAGCGGAGTAGTTAAGACCGACCTAAGTTTCCATGTAGACAGAACTAGGTCAACGGAAGAATTCTTCCATCAACCCAGCTACTGCCTCTTGGGGAGGTGGATTGGCTATGCTGACAGGAGAATACTTCCCGTTGGTGTAGGAAGTGTCTACACTGAAGCACAGCAGTGATGCAGCCGTGCCGCTGTAGTGTTTTAAGTGTAGACAAGCCCTGAGGCATGCAGAGACTGAGGGCCAGTTTTTTAAAGGTATTTAGGCACCTAACTTCTATTGATTTCAATAGGGTTTAGTGTCTTGCTCAACTTCACACAGGAAGTATGTACAGAGCTAGGAGTTGAATTTGGGTCTCCCAAATCCCCAGCTAGCCACTGCACCCTGCTTTCTGTCCTTTTATCAGGCCAAGTTCAGATCTGGTTTTGAGAGGGTGCAGCTCCAGGTACTCTTGCATAGTCATATATTTTGAGTAGCAATTGCCTTTCTAATTGGCCTGACAAAATTAGTCTGCAGTAGCAGATGAAACTGGGAAAATAATATTCTCTTTGGGGCAGGGCAACCTTTTCATTATGTGTATCTACAGTGCCTACCACAGCAGGAGCCTGAGCCCTGATTGGACCTTCTAGGCACTACTGAAGTACAAATGCTAATTGTTCATCATATATGCATATGGATGTAAATGAAAACTGAGCCAGTGAATCTCTTAAACTTACTCTCCAGGCCTGTAGTTTCCATTCTCCAATACTAGATATTGTTGAGTTTTTAATCATCAAGAGTGCTCTGTGAAAAGTATTCGATTAAACTTCTGGGACTTCCTGTATATTTCCCCTACTCGACATAAAAGGTATGTCTACACAGCAACTGGGAGTGAGCCTTCTGGCCTGAGTAGACAGGGTGGGGCTAGTGTGCTAAAAATAGCTGTGTGGATGTTGAGGCATCACCGGCAGCTCAGGTTTGCCACCTGAGCCTGGACTCAGGAGGTAGGGTGGGTCTGAGCTCAGGCGGCTGGGCCGAGCCTCCTCCAGTGCTGCAGTGTTCACACAACTATTTTTAGTGTATTCGTGCAAGCCCTGCTCCCATATATCTGTCTACCCAGGCTGCAAAGTCCATACTATGCCTGCGGGAAATACTTTCTAGTAAAATGAAGTGACTCTCCAAAATTCCACAGTGGAGTTACATCAGGGACGAATTTGGCATATTGATTAAATTTAAACATCTTGCTAGCCTAATAGTAGTGCTGTATAGTTCTGTATGAGAGACATAGGTTTCATTTATCATCGGACTCTCTTGCTCACTTACTAACAGAGGAGGGAACTCAGCATGCAGAAGTGTCAGCGTGCTCAGCCCCTCAGGGAATGCAGAGCGATGGGGTATAATACTGGGTAATTCTCATGATGAGAATGGATTTGATGGAGAGAGGAAGCGTATGCCTTTTCTTCCCCTTCTTTGTATTCACCATCTCTATCCGTTTTTAAACAGTTGAGGAGAGGACGCATATCCTGATTTTGGTATGGAAAAAACCCACCTCAGGTTATGACAGACCTGGAATGGTCAGGTGCACCTTGCCATGCATATTGAAAAATGTACTACTATACTTTCAGCTATGTACTCACAAGGAGATTTTTTCAAGATGCCCCCCTCCCTTCCCCATTGTACGTACCCACACACAAACATTTAAACTCTTAAGAATACAATAAGCCTTAGGAAGCAAACATAGGGAGTGAAATAAGCATGTATAAGTCTCAGGAAAACGCTCATTTAATGTACATTTTCCTCCACAATGAGTAATAAGCAGCTCCATCTTTCATGGCCTTTTTTCAGTTGCTTTTAGTAAGGGATCTGGATTTGTTTTAATCCTTTTCAGTATGTAAAGCTCCAGATATTTCAGCCCCCCGGGGACCTAATGTTGTGTTTTTTAACTCCATTTTGAAAAATAAATGAAAAAAGCATTCAGAGATTGGCAGAATCTGTGACTTATTTTTAATTTCTTTTGTATCCTGAAAGTGACCCAAAAGTGTCAATTAAGAATAGGATCCTAGGCATCAGCCTTTGTGGATTAGTTATAAACAAACATATCATCTAGGTACAGTAGCTCTTTGTACTCTTTAACCTACTTTGTTTCTGTTCCGGCTTGTTCTTTCCTGAAAGGCTGATTGAAATAGTTGCAGCATTTGCTCAGTGAACAACTAAAGCAATATAACCTAATGCATGTGATGTGCCATTTTAAAACCTACCTCGTGCAAAATTATTGTCAACAACCAGGTCTTTCTGCTATAAAGCATGGTTGAATGTATGCCTTATTCATACTCAAAGAGATGGTAATTACTGGGAAATATTAATAATGGAGAAGGATTAAGAGTGTCTAGGTCTGCGACCAAGGCAGCGTTTGTGAAGAATCTTCCTAATGAATTGAGCTTGATGTATATTATTTATACATATGCCAGCAGTTAATTGCCATTACGTATATTATTTATACATATGCCAGCAGTGAATTGCCATTACTGTCACTTATACAGTTGCGTTGGTCTTGTGTTATGAACTTGTAAAGCTGTTAACCTAGCTGTGTTTTCTATTTCCTTAGATACTTCCAAAAAATGCCTGAAAGACGCTTCAAGCTGTAGAAACTGTTACAGAAAAACACAACATATAGCTCTGGGACTTTTGGAGTTAAGCTGTCAAAATGGAGGAAAATAAAGAAAGTAATAGTAAAAATGTCGATGTAAGACCCAAAACCACCCGTAGTAGGAGTGCAGACAGAAAGGATGGTTACGTATGGAGTGGAAAGAAGCTCTCATGGTCAAAAAAGAATGAGAATTGTTCTGATGGTGAAGCAGCAAGTAGTGCAGGAAAACCAGTGGCTGGTTTAAGGAACCAAGAGAGGAAGCACAGCTGTTCATCTATTGAACTGGACTTAGATCGTTCATGTGGCCACAGATTTTTAGGCCGGTCTCTTAAACAGAAATTGCAAGATGCTGTGGGACAGTGTTTTCCTATAAAGAATTGTAGCAGTCGGCACGCTTCAGTGCTTCCATCAAAGAGAAAAATTCATATCAGTGAATTAATGCTAGATAAGTGTCCTTTCCCACCTCGATCAGAGCTAGCTTTTCGATGGCATTTAATTAAAAGACATACTGCCCCCATAAGTCAAAAATCAGAAGATTGGATAATCACTGATTTATCCCAAAGTGAAGAGACAGATGATCAGCTGAGAGATGGAGAGAGCACAGATCGGGGAGGAAACACTTTCTCACAGCCATGTGACATTTCAGATAGCAACTCCTGTAAATGTGATCCTAGGACTGAATCGGTTATGAGTAAGGTGTTAAAGAACAATAAAGACGAGAGTGATATGGACTCTGATGATGAAGTTATAACACTTTGCACAAGTTCTAGAAAGAGGAACAAACCCAAATGGGAAACGGATGATGAGCTGCTACAGTTGGAAACTCCTCCCAAATACCATACCCAGATTGATTATGTCCACTGTCTTGTCCCAGACCTTCTCCAGATCAATAATAATCCATGCTACTGGGGTGTAATGGACAAATATGCAGCTGAGGCACTACTAGAAGGAAAGCCAGAAGGAACTTTTTTACTACGAGACTCTGCCCAAGAAGACTATTTGTTTTCTGTTAGTTTTAGACGCTATAGTCGTTCTCTTCATGCAAGAATTGAACAGTGGAATCATAACTTCAGCTTTGATGCTCATGATCCTTGTGTCTTCCATTCTCCTGACATTACTGGTCTCTTAGAGCATTATAAAGACCCAAGCTCTTGTATGTTCTTTGAACCACTTTTATCCACTCCCTTAAACAGGACTTTTCCTTTTTCCCTTCAGCATATATGCAGAACAGTTATTTGCAACTCTACAACATATGATGGCATTGATGCTCTTCCTATTCCTCCATCTGTCAAGTTATATCTGAAGGAATATCACTATAAATCAAAAGTTAGAGTACTCAGGATCGATGTACCAGAGCAACAAAGCTAGAATGTATTTGGGGGGCGGGGGAATAGGGGTTGTCTCTTGATCTGATAACGTTTGTGTTGTCCTTCCTCCCTTGCATTTTTTTTCTATGGCAATTTGAATCTTTTCTGTAGATTATTTACAGTCCAAATTGATCTCTGCCTGGGTCTTTCTGTCCAAATGTACTTTGACTCTTCCTTCCACCCCTTTTTAGTCAACTCACTAGAGTCTGTGGTTTTTTGGTAATGTTCATACCCTAGGGTTTTATGGAACTTCAGGTAGGTTTTCTAGGGTTTCCACATAAGGATAGTCTTTAGATTTAAAAATAAAAATTCATATTTGAATTTGATCTGTCTTTTTATATTGTAATTTGCATATGTTGCAGGCATGTTTGAAATGTATGCACTGTAAACTAAAGATTGACTAATCTGTATTTTCTATCTTTTAAAATGAGTGCTAATGACCTATATATAAAGTAAAATTAATCAGTCTATTTCTAACACTATTACTGTGTGTAAAATATTATTTTGATGGGCAGTTATTGCTATGAATTTTTTTCTACTTTTTTTCTTTAAACACTTGTGACACAGCACTATTTTATCTTGCACTGTTAATCCTGAAAAGAAGATGGATAACCTTCTTACTTCATTCGTAGCGGGAGGGCTTTTTTTTAAATATGGTTTAGAAGAAATAGCTACAGATTGATCAAATGCTACATCTCCCCAGACAAGATTTCCATTATCCATGCATAATTTCCTTGCTGCCAAATTCTGTGTTCAAGGAAATTATGCATGGATAATCCTCCAGAAAGCGGCACCATTTTACATTATATTTGTGTGGTCATTTACAAACATCAAACTCTTGCCTTCTTTTCAGTAAAGTTATTCTGCTCATACTTGAATCAATGGCACAATCTCAGTGAACCTCAGTGTGTGCAGGTTTAGGCATAGAATTAGTCACTGTAAATGGCAGAGGGGCCCAATTCTGTAAGGTGCTGAGCACTCCACAATCTCATTGTCTTCATTGAAGGGACTCACCACTGCTTATGGCACTGGGCCCAGATTAGCCAATCTGTCAAATGTGATAAGTAATAATATAGGTAACTAAAGTGAGCATATTGTTTTTCCCTTTAACCATGTGGACAGTTTTGACATGTTGAATAATCCCTTACGAATTTAGGCCTTGATCCTTTCCTTTGTGATTAACTTGACTCATGAGTAGTCTCTTTGACTTGAATCAGATCACTCACATGCAGAAATGTTTGCAGAACTGGAAGCTAAAATAGCATTTACATTGTTTCTTTGGCCATTTTAATTTCAGCTGTCAGAAAATTATGTGAATTTGTGGGCAGCAAATCTCCCCTCCCACCAAAGTTGGAGACTGAGTAATGCCGGGGTGGTTATGCAAACTTTCCCCCACAGCTCCACTGAAGCACAGCATTCCTTGCCTAAAAATTCTTCTGTAACATCATCTTAAGGTTCAACCCAGACCAGTTAGGGGTTGTGTCATTGCCTCCCTTGGAACTCTGGATACCTTAAACGCTAGGCTGCTGTGGGTCACAGCCTGAATGCCAACAGTCAGTCTACAAGCATGCAGGTTACACCCGGGCTTCCACAGCCCAGTTACTGTTTGCAGAGTGATGCCAGTGCCCCCCAAATGCCAAATTTCTTTAGCTGTCTCCCTGCGGCCTGCTCCTGGAACAGTCACAGAAGTTACCTTTGTTGCTCCTTTAAAGAGAATATGCTGCAGCTTGTTAATTTGACTGAGGTTTGACAAACACTCTTACTTTAGTCACAGAACTGAATTAAGTTTTAGTGTTAGAAGGGTATTTTTACCTATGACTTTTTGTTTAATAAACTTGTTTTACTTTTACAGTTTATTAAACAAAAAGTCATAGGGTCAAATTATACACTATTCTATTTATATACAAAATACAGATAGAAAGGGTTACAAGCAAACAAAAGTAAAAATACCCTTCTAAGACTAAAACTTAATTTCAGCACGATACAATCATTGCTGAAGTAGGTTTCTCACCTATATTCAGTTCCTCAAGTCTTTAACTCCTATTGAACATTTGACATTGAAGGACCCAATGTTCTTTGATTTCAAAAGCTCTGGCCCCTTGAATCACGCAAGTAATGGATCACTGTCTTTTTGCCCCCTTATATCACTCCAAAGTTCATTGTCTCTGTTTCAAGAGTCAGGAAAGTTTCCTGTGGACTTCCTATCCCCACGCTGATTTGTATGTTAGTAGGGCTTCTGTTTTTTTGATTCTAGATTGCTTAATTAACATTGGAGACTGGTATAGAGCTCCTTCCCTCCTGGCTGAGAGAGAACTTTTTTGTCCCTGGGTTTGGTCACATACTTTAAAGCATAATATCAGTGAATATCCAAAATTCCTCATATAGTGTTAATGAATACATTTCACAATTATATTAATCACCAGCATGTCATAGGCTTTCATAAGACTTTATTCAATATACTTTTATAATACAGCAATATTGTTTACAATCAATTGATTCAATGGCTTATGATTTGAGGTTCAGACCCCCTGTCTTTATTGACCAATAAACTTTTGAAATGTATTCTCAGATAAAGTAACTTTTCTCCTATGGGGAAGAGATGCCATGCAGTCTGAGGAAGACTTCATACTGGTTCCTCCCCCTGTTAGCTTGATGGCTTTGTTTCCTTTTTACGTAAAGTACCTTCAGTATTTCTGCCTGAGGACCAGGCTTGTCAGACAAGCAAGTTCGCATTCCTTCATCTAAGGCAGTCTAGGCTTACGCATTTCTTGCCAAACACATTTTAAGAACATAATTCTAGCACCTACTTATAACTCTTTGTACACATCCCATACATACACCACTCAGGAATTTTAATGATCAGTGAGTTATTAGTTTTCCAATGATAGATTACTTGCCACCTTTTGGGTATACATCATGATGTTAGGTGTAGCGAGTAGGGCAGGCCTGACGAGTTGCTGACAGAATAGCGAACCACTAATAGGCCTCGGTGTCACATCTCCTTTTCAGGCCTCAGCCGTCTCAGCGTAGAAAACACACTGAACTAGTCTGGTGTCCTTGTGATGTGGACATTTTTCAACTAGAGACTAAAAGGAGACCATTGTGTTTGTTTTCACTTGTGGTTTAAATTGGTTTTGAACCAAAGTCTCCAGGAATAAAATATTAGTGCATCAATCCATGTTATTGCATGAACATATGTTGATGAATATGCTATGGGGCAGATTCTCAGCTGGTGTAAACTATCATAGCACAATTGATGAGTATCAAAAGTTTACATCAGTTGAGCCTCTGCCCCTGTATGTGCAAATGGCTATTAGGGAACTGATATTTATGAAACTATCCATAGCCATCAATGCATACTTCCTTGTACTGCTTCAATTCAATTAACTTCATTGAATAGACCAGACATTCTCTTTAAGAGGATTCATGATTTTTTTTAAGCTAGTTCATATTAGGAAATCTATTTCTTCATTATCTATTTCATCCATAAGACTGGATGAAAAACGGGAATCATCTTTTGTTCCATGTGTGCGTAGCATCAAGCACAATGGGATATTGGTCCATGATTGACTAATAAATAGTCCAAACCTAAATTTATCCAAAATTTGCAGAGGCACTTTGCTTAATCAAAGTGGTCTCGTTCAGAAACTCCAATATAAGCCAAGCACTTCATAACTAAAGGATTTCTTACTTAAGTGGAATTGTTCATCATGTTTTCCACAACACTGTACAAAAACTAGATTTCAACCCATAAAAATGATCTAATATATTTAAGTTCTTACACTGAACCCGTTAAGAAGAAAGATGAGTGCTTTAATGAAGGCTTACAAAGCGAAGACTATCTTCATTTTCAAGAACAAAAATTGTCCCTTCACAACGAAAGGCCATCAGACAAATGTGTCTTGGATGCAATTTTACAGCCTGCTGCATTTTTTCAGCTTTGTCTATGTATTTTTATGCAGCCTTTATAATGGTGGCATCTGTTATAACACTGAAATGAAACAGTAGCTTGGTTTATTCCAGATTTTTCTACAATTTTAGGAGACTAAATAGTTAAATAGAATAGCTATTGTGTGTATAAAAACAGAGCCTTTCATGTGTGGGTTAATTAATCATAACTGTTTAAAGTAACTAGATAGGAACAAAATTGCTGAGCGTGTTTTTTTGAAAATTTGTGCAGGTTTTTGTTTTGTTTTGCCAATTTAATGTGATTTTTTGCACCCCTGGGATCTGACTGTGGGCGTGTAATTTCACAAGACAAAACTTTTTTTACTGTGAAGCATGTGAAAACTCAAAAAGCCCCTTTTGTTCAAAAATTCAAACTGTCAAGTTTTTGAGAAAGAACCCTTTAAGAGGCTATCTGGTTTAGAACATCCTTGAGTTCTTTTTCCACCTCTGCCACTAACAAACTTGCTAATATGTTGTCTTAAATACAAGGCCTAACACCACCTCTGTGACCATACAATTCATCCAACTTGCGGAAGGCACTTTCAGTCCAAATGCAGAAACGCCCAACATGGCCACCTGGAGTAAGTCTCAAAAGATTCAGCTTGTCTACATTGAGAAGAGTAATTCCTGGGATATTTCTAAAAGCCCTGATGATGCCATTGTCCTCATTATAGATAATGCAGGGTCCCCTGTGCTGAATGTGATGGCAATTCCTCATTTTACCCTTCCCAGCACGCATACACTGAGAGGCATAAACCTTTTTTATAGGTTTCAGAGGAACAGCCGTGTTAGTCTGTATTCGCAAAAAGAAAAGGAGTACTTGTGGCACCTTAGAGACTAACCAATTTATTTGAGCATGAGCTTTCGTGAGCCACAGCTCACTTCATCAGATGTGTACCGTGGAAACTGCAGCAGACTTTATATACACACAGAGAATATGAAACAATACCTCCTCCCACCCCACTGTCCTGCTGGTAATAGCTTATCTAAAGTGATCAACAGGTGGGCCATTTCCAGCACAAATCCAGGTTTTCTCACCCTCCACCCCCCCACATAAATTCACTCTCCTGCTGGTGCTAGCCCATCCAAAGTGACAACTCTTTACATAATCAAGTCGGGCTATTTCCTGCATAGATCCAGGTTTTCCTGCATAGATCCAGGTTTCCTGCATAGATCCAGTGAGAAAACCTGGATCTATGCAGGAAATAGCCCGACTTGATTATGTAAAGAGTTGTCACTTTGGATGGGCTAGCACCAGCAGGAGAGTGAATTTATGTGGGGGGGTGGAGGGTGAGAAAACCTGGATTTGTGCTGGAAATGGCCCACCTGTTGATCACTTTAGATAAGCTATTACCAGCAGGACAGTGGGGTGGGAGGAGGTATTGTTTCATATTCTCTGTGTGTATATAAAGTCTGCTGCAGTTTCCACGGTACACATCTGATGAAGTGAGCTGTGGCTCACGAAAGCTCATGCTCAAATAAATTGGTTAGTCTCTAAGGTGCCACAAGTACTCCTTTTCTTTTTTGCAAACCTTTTTTATGTCATTCCATGCTTTAAGCTTCTGAAGTAGGCAAATATGCCTGCTTCAAAGATAACTGGGGCTGACAGAAGTTAAGTGACAGGCTCAAGATCACACAGAGAGTTAGTTTCAGAAGCCAGATAAGAAATCATCTTTATGATTCCCAGGTCCATGCAAAATCTAGTAGACCTGGGCAGGCCATTTAACCTCTGGGGCTTGATTTTTTTTCCCATGGTAATCCTACATTGTACCACGCTGGTCCTATTGTCTGAGGCTGCAAACCCTGCCATAAGGAGGTCTGGTCTGCTGATCACCTCTCCTCCGCTTGTGCTATAGATCACACAGCGTACTCAGTGTTAGGAAAAGCTGAGCACTGCTGTCGTACTGACGCTACAGTTCCTACTCCTAACCCAAGACTCCTCACCTAAAGCTGACCCAGTGGATAAACTCTTGCATATGTCAATAGTTTGACAACGGGTCCATATGTTTGTCCACCCTTGCTTCCCCAAGTCAACAAATGAGTGCCAGTAAATTATTGTTTGTAGGTCACAGTCAAGTGACCCATTGTGTTAGGTACTGTACATACACATAGTAAGAGACTGCTGCCTCCTCTATTTAAGTTGCAGACACTAGCCTGAGAGGGGAAAAGGGTACAGGGATGTGAAGCAATTGCACAGGCTTATACAGCAGGTCAGTGGCTAAACTGGGAATACGACGACAGGTTTCAGAGTAGCAGCCGTGTTAGTCATGCATCCGATGAAGTGAGCTGTAGCTCACGAAAGCTTATGCTCCAATAAATTGGTTAGTCTCTAAGGTGCCACAAGTCCTCCTTTTCTTTTTTTGGGAATACAAACCAACTCTCCCGAGAGCAAGCCCAATACCTTATTCACTGGACTACACGGCCAGTCTTGCCATAAGCAGAATGACTGTGGGGGGTGGGTACCACTCTGAAGTGCTTTCTTTACCCCTACATTAGGAACATGTCAAGCTGATTGTAATAAATGTGAAAAGCTTTTAACTTTTGCTAGTTAGGTCTCCCATCTGGTAAGGAAAAGAAAAGGCCTGGCTATCATTATCTTCAGTAAAATAGTTGTTTGGTAAGAAAGCATAGGAAGGAAAGTCAGGCCCTGTAATGCACAGTGGACAAATTTCAGATATAAGCTTTTCCTACAGAAAAGATAGTGTTGGTTATTACTCTTTACATTGGATTTTACTCCCACTGAGTTTATATCGCTCTCTGCAGCAATGTAAATTATTGGCCTGACATCAGCAGTGCAGAGCCCTGGTAACTCCCATGGAGTGAGTGAAGGTTTTGGGTGCTCAGCATGTCTGATAATCAGGGGCATATATTTCTTGTCGATTTTACTACTCTTCAGCAGCTTCAAACCAGTGAAATCTACGGTGCAGTCATTTCTTACAAGCTATATCTCTTTAGTAGCACATCCAGCTGCAAAGAAATACAGGGATCATAATTTATATGCTGTCCCTTTAAAGAAGCTGCCCACGTTTCCAATATAAAGAAGGAATATTTGTATGATGCTGTCATACATGGCCTTACTGTAAAACTGACATGCTCTTAAATAATTAAAAAGGGGGTACTTTAATTTTGAAAAAAGACCCCATAGGAAGGAGGTTGAAGGAAGCTTTTAGTCAGCTTTGAGGCTAGATTTATTGATCTGGTGATCAATCCCATCTTCTTTCCTGAATTTAAAGCTAATGGGAGATTGTGGTCAAAGATGAGTGGCTTTTAGTTAAGGTTTTTGACTCTGATAAATAATACAACAAATGTCTTAGTAAGTAATAAGAAATAAGGAATTCACTCATTCTTTTAAATAGAACAAATGTGGCAAACAAGACTCAACTGTAATATTTGAAGTCATTTATTAGACAAATTGCTCTTCCTTACTTTTTTACAAGAGAGAGACATAAACCATTATATTATTTATTCATGAATCATAGCCATTAAGATGATAAATCAAATTATCAGCTTCCTGTCTCTTCAGTTTTAATCATTTTTTATAGTTCATGTAATATAAAGACAGCTTCCTTCCTATGAAACAAGAGACCTTCAGAGACCTATTTATTGTAAACGTACATTTCCTTCCCATTTCTAAGTATATCCTAGTGATTTTCTCTGTCAATTTTAGCTGTAATAAAAATCCAATAAAGAAGTTGTACGTTGGTCCGGTGTAGCAAAATTAACTGTGAAGAAAGTGTTTTTTTAATCCCTGAAGTACATTATAATAGAAAATGCTGTTGAGGTGTGTTTGTTTGTTTGTTTGTTTTATTTTTTTATGTGTATGGGATGTGATAAGTTGATGGCATAATGAGACACAAATCTTGACCACAGCTCATATACTGCTGATGGGAGCTTTCTCGGATGGTTTGGGATTTTAGGTTGATCTATACAATATTCTCACTTTCTTTGATACTGAGAGCCATCTTCTTTCTCGGTCCCAGCACTGCAGTCATATATCTATTATATTCTGCCTCTCGGCAGGGTGCACAAGAGCTAATGCCACTCCTAGTCTGGGAACCGGCTAGCACTGGAGAATGAATGATGTAAACACCATTTCAAACATCCTCTCCTCCTGGCTCCATCTGCACCAGCCTTCGTTTGCTTCAGAAACCAAACGTTTGATTTTAAGTTGTAGATTGTGATATGTGTAGAGTCATCTGCAGGCAGAGTATCTATTCTGACACAAACTGGACTACAGTCGGGTGGCAATCGCTGTCTCCATTGCCCTGTGTGAGATTTGACCTCCTGTGTACATTGATTTCCATTTGAAACAGAGGCTGTAGCTGTTAACTGATTTTTAAACTTGATTGTCCATATTAAATGCTACTCTCAGGAAGCAAGGGTGAGGGCATAGTTTCCAAGAGTGTCATGAAAGCCTTTAGAATGGTGGAAATATTCATCATGTGCTACACTATAAAAATCGATACAGGTTTACTCCCCTCTGCATGATTTGCTAGGGCTGCATATAAAATAAATAGTACGTGCATGGGGTGAATTGCAGTAACTTCACCCCCAATACTCGTCGTAATTATTGCCTCAATGAATGTCGCTGATGCATTCTCTAAATGTTTCCCCTCTGATAATAAAGTCAAAGTGCTAAGGAGTGCATGCATTTTTAAAGGTGTTTGCTGCACCTCAAAAGATTCTGGTAAACTTCCCCGGACTCCAGATCTGCTCCTACGGATGCTCAAAAGGAGTTTTGCTATAAGACCCCTTGGTCAGGTTGTCTGTAGAAAATGAACTAGGGACATCTAGATCTAGAAGCATGAACCTCTACTACTAGAGCTAAAGAACCAACTCCATAGCTTGAAGGCTGTAGCAGGCTTATAAGCCTCTTTATGAGGTCCGGCCATGAGAAAGGACAAAAACACACTTGGCCAGCGTGTTACACCATTGGCTTTAAAGGGAGCTGAATCAGGCCTTAGATGCAATCTCTCTTCTTTCTCCATCCACCCCCCTCACTCCATCCACACACAAACATTCTTGGCAAACTCAACCCTCCCTGATCTTTTGCCACATATTCTAAGAGTGGCAGTTCCACCCTTTTTGAAACTGTTTTGCTCATTTTATTTTCTCTACATTATGTAGGTAAGTGCCTGTCTCCAGTGGAAGTTGGAATTCATACCCCTAATAAAGCCTGAGTGCTTCTTTATTTTCATTAATTCTTCTATGGGATCTCTGTCCCTGATTCTGTTCCCTGAGATGTCAGTGGCAAAATTTACACTGACCTTTATGTATCTGTTACAGGTGCCAAGATTCATAGATTCCCAGGCCAGTGTTTCTCAACCTGGGGCTCACGGGACAGGTTTAGGGGGGTCTCAAACAGGGCTGGTGCTAGGGGACAGGAAGCATTGTGTCTGGGGCCCTGTGCCACAGGGGTAAGTCCAAAGGGGATCGCCCACACAAAAGGGTTAAGAAACACTGATTTAATCTGACCTTCTGTATAACAAAGGCCATGGAACCTTCCCCGCAAAATTCCTAGAGCACGTATTTTAGAAGAACATCCAGTCTTGATCTTTCAGACAGACTCGCCATTGATGTTAAGTGTATTTGATCAGCTAATCTACCTATGAAATTTATATCATCCTCATTGAGAATAGCCCTGCAAGGACTGAAATCC